ATTTACTATCCAGATTTTGGGTTGTTGGAGTCAGTGTTCAGATTTTGGGCTCAATATGCTGATAGATTTTGGGCCATATACTGCTTGTTGACATCCAGATTTTGAGTGGTGTTAACTTTGGGGTTTGGTGTTAGTGGTGCTAGTTTCCAGATTTTGGCCTGCGAGAGGTAACCAGATTTTTTAGACCAGATTTTCTAGTAGTTTTGTCTGAGATTTTAGCTGCGAGTGCTGACGTTCAGATTTTGGTCTGTGGTTGTGGAAAATCGCTTTTTTTTATTGTAACGATAGGCTTTCAGATTTTTGAATGCCGATATTAAGGGTCAGATTTTGGCTAGAGATTTAGGAGTTCAGATTTTTGGCTATAGACAGTGATGATTAGAATTGGAACTGCCGATTTTGAAGTTCAGATTTTGGGTTAGGGATTTTGACGTTCCGATTTTTGGCTAGAGATTTAGAGGGTAAGATTTTTTCACTACAATGGATCAGAGTTTTGGGCTACCGATTTTGAAAGTTCAGATTTTGGGCTACATTACGTTAGCCAATCAGATTTAAGGTTGCAGGCTTAGCCAATCAGATTTGAGGTAACAGGCTTAACCAATCAGATTTTGAGATAGCCGTGATTTAGAGAATTGTTATTGTCTAACACTTTTGAAATCTGAGTAATCTTGACCATCCATTAAAAATCTGAATGGTTTACATAATCCTTTCTATCGGATATCGCTCAAAGCCGATTTCCTATCCAAATCTGATTGACATAAGCATATAAATTGTTCAATTGTATGTAACCCTGTTTTAAACGCACAATATACATATATATATATATAACTATAGATTAAATCAGTGTTGTGTATTAGAGACTGAATTATATGGACAAATAGATTATACCAAAGGTTGTATTACAAGATTAAATGCCTATTATAGTGTAAAGTGATTATTGTAGTGTCAACACCTAACTATTGTAATTGTTAAGTACGTATTGTAGTGTTGACGTGAGTATTGTAGTGTTAAGTAATTCTTTGTAGAGTAAACACATTAATTAGTACATTTTGTGTACTGTAGTTGTACTGTTTTGTAATCACCACATAAGGACATCAATAGACATTTTAGGACAATTATGGACATTTGGGGATAGTCATTGATATTTATAAACATATGTGAATAATTAATGGTCACCCATATATATAATATGGACATATGTGGACTTTTTGGACATTTGTGGAACTAATGAACATTTATGGACATTTGTGAACGTTGAAGGGCATTTGAATAAGAAAATCCCTTAAACTGAGAGATTAATTGCGAAGAGTTGCCTTTTTTTTTTTACTGTGAGTTCCTGTTTGTCTAACTATCCAGCTATCCAACCATCTCTCTCTCTCAATACGGATCGAATCAAAATTTGCTAAACAAAATCCTTTCAACAATATCTAAACCAAGCGATAATATACAGCCTCAACTCTTTTCATTTACAAGATAAATTGCCTTAATTTCAACGTTGAAATACCAATGAAGACAAATAATTATTCAGGTCATCGGAAAGTTAAAGCCCATAGATGAATTGGTTTTTCTGTAGTAATCGGGGGCGGTCTTTTCCGATGGCTGTTTTTATCGATGGTTACCCTAATAGAGTATATTATTAGTACGTTTTCTATGGTATGGGAAGGGTAAATTATTGGTACGTTTCTATGGTTGGGACGACTAGTCTATTTGAGGGAGATTTTTTTCATTCATGTTCAATATAATCAAAATTAGACCACGTAAACAGATATTTGTAAGCAATAAAACAAGCATCATGTAAGCGGACATTTTTGAGTACACAATTTTTTATACACGTAAACACTTGTATACACGTAAACAGATATTTATAAAGCTTTAAACAGACATTCGTGTACACATAAACATATATTTGTGTACATATAACCAGACATTTGTACTTGTATACATGTAGACACTTCTGTAGACATTAAGACATTTTTGTACACGTTAAGAGACATTGTGAAGCACTAAGTGTAAGTATTCATTTATGATTCTTGTATTTGGAAATAAAGCTTAAATGAGGAAATTTTTTATTTGTATTTGTCCAGTAGTATATTTTAGGTATTGTTATAGAAATAGTTTTAGTCGTTTTAGATATAGGTGCGGCTTATGGTCTTTCTGAAACATTATTATTATTATTATTATTATTAGTAATAGTAGGATTTTTTCATATTTTTATTCTTATTGTTGTTGTTATCATTGTATTAGTCTTCAATTAATGGCTTTATTTTCCCGCCTTCAAGAAATCATGCTGAGTGACGTTATGCCGACACCTGTTCCCTGTATACGGCGACAATGCAGGGCAGCAGATCAGTGTATAATACGTTTATTCTTCCCCCACGAGATAAGCAAAGCATTGTTTGGTGAGCAAGATGACTGTGTATAGTGACCAAGAGGAATTTATCATGAAGCCGTCCCTGGATGGTGTTGCTAGACGATAGTGAGCAAGAAAGTGAAGATTTTAGTCAAGTTGATCTGACGTGAAAATGGCGGGAAGAGACAAAACAAGTTAAATCTTTCTTTCCATGGCTCCAGTGTTCTAAATTTGTGTTTCTTATGTTTCAATTTGATAACTGTAATGCCATAGTACCAGACATAGTTCATACAACAGAAACTGATACTGAATTAAACTACACTATTTCCAACTGTATTTTGATTGGACTTTGATGACATAAGCATTACTGATCTGCATAAGGAAAGCGGAAAAATGCTTTACACCGTTTATTACTACAAGCACTTGTCTTTGGTGTGTTATGACGGAATAAACACTTGAAATTAACAAGAAATGTGTGTAGGTAAAGTTGTTCCTCTAATACACCCTAACATCCGGTACTTCGGGAGGCTCACAATACCACAGATTATGTAAGTATCAAATTTATATGTTTTCTGTATTTTATTTTGATTTAAGTTGTTTTTAAGATCTCTCTCACAGAAAATGGGTCACCAAGACTAATGTACATGATGGAGAGAGACTGTATACGAAATCAATATCACTTACTAATACTGTAGAGGTACATCCAAGGGAGTCACCTGAAGAATAACCACCCCAGCTTATTTCACGTGAAGATTAACCAATTTAACACTATTTGGTTAGGTTAGGTTAGGATGGTTAATCTTCAGCTAAGGTGGAGATTCTTCAAGTAATCCCAGCTATGTATTGCATGTTGATATTTCTTAAGGAATATCCTATTAAAACCGTCAATTCGAATTCCTATATAGGTTTTCTTACTAATATAGCAATTGTATATGATTCTGTATAATTTATAGCATACGATGATATATAAAAGTCCACAAATTAATCTTAAATGCTAAAGTTACAGGAATATACAGTACACCAATTATAATAATCGTTATATATACTTGTAGACTTCATATATATCAGGGAAATGTCGTTATATATCCTCGTAGAATACCAGGGAATTATATACTCGATTCAGGAACCAGTTCATGCCCAGTATTTGCCGAATCTAGGTAAAAAAGTCACAGAAAAAAGTCACAGGAAAAAAGTCACAGGTAAAAAAGTCACAGAAAAAAAGTCACAGGAAAAAAAGAAAAGTTAACTATCGAATTCTTACATTTTTTAAGATTAATATGTCAATCAGTTTCAGTAAAGGAATATGCAGAACTGATGGTAACCTAACCTAACCTTTATTACCGGCCACCATAAATTAATTGACTTTTTTTCCTGTGACTTTTTTCCTAGCCAAAATTGTGACTTTTTCTGTGACTTTTTTTCCTGTGACTTTATTACCGGCCACCTATTTGCCACAGCGCTTAACAGAGACGTGACCGACTGCCCAAGCGGCGAAGAGAATAAAAGGGTTCATATATACCAGGGAATTGATGATGTGAATTTCCCCTCCGTCTGTTTACCTGTCGCCATGGTAAACAGTCGTCTCTTCCTCCACCTTACACAACATCTATAAAGAATTAATTAACGTTGTAGTACACTTATAACGGCAAAGTGTCGTGTTTTAAAAGGGTTTTGTAGTAGTAATTGGGATAAAGTATGTTAGTGTGTGTTAATTTGATGCTTCGGTTATTCCTGGCATCTAAGTCGGCATATTGCGTGTAATTTTACTTATAAACGCTTATAAGTAGGTTAGTGTTATTTATTTTTACCTGTATTTTACGTCCCGTTATCAATATGAAGAATGATTATTGCGCAATAAACTGCTTTAAATTACTTAAAAGGAGATAAGTAAAGACTTGTATAACATGATTATCTCCAATACAAATCATTACCACAGCATTCGAACAGTGTTTACTATCGCCTCAGTTGTCATACGCCAATTAAACATTTATTATTTATAACTACAGAGCACATATTTAGCCATAATCTTTTCACATCGGTAATTTGACTCAACATTATTATGTTAAATATTTATTGTAGGAATTGTTTTTTTAACGTTAATAGGTAAATAATGGTTATGTAACTGTGGTATTTTTGTCCGAAAGTAACGACGGTGGCTATAACTTGCGTAACTTACTAGCCTTTGTTGGAGTAGTAGAGGTGAGGTGCATGGCGAGGGCCAGTCTCGTTCAGTACCACCACACGCGTCGCAGTGAGAGGGTCGTCGCTGCTCTCATCCTTGCACTTGTAGAGACTATAGCAGAAAGTTGCGACATATAGCAATTACTATAAAAAACACGTATTAGAAAATTCAAAATATGGAAATTAACTCTCAGGTAAGTACTGCATTCCCATTTTTAACAAGATTAACTATAACTGAATAATTTACTTAACTATTTTGTTATATATTAGGTTAGGGTGGTTAATCTTCAGGTGATTCATTATATGTTCATCATAATTTAAATATGTGAGTATAGCAATTATCCGGTCTCCAGTTCAGGTTTAGATATTAGGTTAATATTAGGTCAGTGTTTTGTTAGACTAAGGCTACGTCAGGTAAAGTTAGGTTAAAGTCAGGCTAAGTTAGGTTAATATCAAGTTATGGTTATATAGATTAAGGTTCATTAAGTTTTTATTAAGTCAGTTTTAGAGTAAGTTAAATGTTGTCACGTCAGGCTAATATTATAAGAACATAAGAAAGTGGGATACTGCAGGAGGCCGACTGGCCCATACAGGGCAGATCCCTTTCACACCCATCCCAGCACTTCCATGTGCCTATCCAACTTCGTCTTGAAGCTCCCAAGCGTCCCCGATCCTACTATAGCACTCGGTAGCCTATTCCACATATCCACAACTCTATTACCAAACCAGTGCTTGCCTATATCCTTTCTGAATCGGAATTTATCTAATTTAAAGCCATTTGTTCTAGTTATTTCGTTATAACTGAGCTTCAGAACATCTTCCATTTTACCCTTGTTAATCCCACTTACCCACTTGAACACCTCTATCATATCTCCCCTAACTCTACGTCTCTCTAATGAATGCAAGCCTAAGCTTTTCAGTCTTTCTTCATATGGAAGGTTTCTAATATTATGGATCATTTTTGTCATTCTTCTTTGTACTCTCTCCAAAGAATCTATGTCCATTCTATAATAAGGACACCAGAACTGAACCGCATAATGCTAGGTCAAGTTTCAAGATAACGTCAGCAGTTCTGTTACTCACACTCCTAGATATGAACCCAAGAATCCTGTTTGCCTTGTTGCGAACGCTAATGCATTGTTTTCTAGGTTTCAAGTCGTTGCTAACAAATACACCTAGATCCTTTTCACAATCTGAGTTTTCTATTTCCGTGTTACCTAGTTTATACTTAACGTTTGTATTCGTCTTCCCTATCTGTAGTACCTTGCATTTATCAGTATTAAAATTATTTGCCAGTCTACTGACCACTCATGTAAGGTATCTAGATCTCTTTGAAGGTGTTCAAAGTCACTGTCTGAATTTATCACTCTCCCCATTTTGGTATCATCTGCAAATTTACTAATCCTACTAGTTATACCTAAATCAAGATCATTAATGAATATAACAAACAGCAGAGGGCCTAATACAGATCCCTGGGGAACTCCGCTTTTGACCGCACCCCAGTCTGACTTAAATCCATTTATGCTGACTCTTTGTTTCCTACCAATTAACCATGACCTAATCCATTTTAATAATGATCCACCTATTCCATGTGCTTTTACCTTCCTTAATCTCTCATGAGGGACTCTATCGAATGCTTTACTGAAATCTAAATAAATTATATCATATGACTTATCATTATCTACCCCTTCATATACTTCTGAGAAAAAGCTAAGCAAATTTGTGAGACAAGAACGTCCCTGGGTGAACCAGTGCTGAGAAGAATGAATTAAGTTGAATGTTTCAAGGTGGCTTCTGATTTTCGTAGCAATAATTGACTCTAGCAACTTGCCTATGATTGACGTGAGACTAATGGGACGGTAATTTGATGCAATTGATTTATCACCTTTTTTGAAAATCGGAACGACATTTGCAAGTTTCCAAGCTACTGGCACTAGGCCCGATTCTAATGACTTATTAAATAAAACTGCTAACGGATTACTCAACTCATCTCTACATTCTTTTAATATTCTAGCATATACCTCGTCTGGACCAGGCGATTTATGAGGCTTCAGTTTGTTAATTTCTTTAAGCACATCGTTACTAGTAATATTGATATTCATCAACATATTTTCGATACTGTCGTTATATACCTTATGAACTTCTGGAAACTGTACTAGGTTTTCATTTGTGAATACGGAGCGAAAATGACTATTTAACGTACTACACATTTCTAACTCATCATCAGTCATTTCTCCTGTCGTAGTTTTAAGGGGACCTTCGTTAATGTTATTTTGGTGTCGTTTAAACTACAAATTATAGCCACTACTACCACCACTTGTTCTGGTAGGGGATTGAACCCGGGTTTACTTGCTTGCGAATCGAGCATGCTGACCATTACACCAAGGGCTTCCATCGCTCACATAATTACCGTTATCATCACCAATCTCAACTGAGCGTGACCCCCCCCCCCCTTCCACTGCTTATCATTGTCACTAAATCGTTTTCATAATCTGATTCATCTATTTCTACGTTGACCTGATTTCATTTCTCGTGTCCTAGAATTTTACACTTTCCACACATTAAACTAGTTTGCCATTTATCTGTCTATTAGATTTAGTTATATGTCCTATTTTTAATTTAATTTTAACTTTATATTGTCTCTTTGTTTTTCTTATAAGAACATAAGAAAATAAGGAGTCTGCAATAGGCCGGTTGGCCTGTGCATGGCAGCTCCTGTCGAGAGTTACTACCACTCTCTATCATCCATGAATCTATCCAGCCTACTTTTGAAACTGTCCAGTGTTCCAGCACTTACTACAAAGTTGCTAAGCTTGTTCCACTCGTCCACCACCCTATTTGTGAACCAGTTTCTTCCTATCTCCCTCCTAAACCTAAACTTATCCAACTTGAATCCGTTGCTCCGAGTCCTATCCTGCTCGGATATTATAAGAACTTTATCTATATCCCCTTTATTGATTCCTTTCACCCACTTAAATACTTCTATCATATCTCCCCGCACTCTTCGTCTTTCTAGGGAATACAAGTTAAGTTTCTTTAACCTATCCTGATATGGAAGGTTTCTAAGTCCCTGAATCATTTTCGTCATTCTTTGCTGCACCGACTCTAGTGAATTGATATCCATTCTATAATAAGGGCACCAGAACTGAACCGCATAATCTAGGTGCGGCCTAACTAGCGCAAGATATAGTTGCAATAAGACCTCTGCACTCTTGTTACTTACACTTCTAGATATAAAACCCAATACTCTGTTTGCCTTATTTCGAACATTAACGCACTGTTTTCTAGGCCGTAGGTCCGGGCTTACAAGTACCCTGTTTTAATTCTATATACGGTAAAACTTTTATCTGCCTAATAATATTCTGGAAGTAATTGTCTAAACTCTTATTGGTGATGAAAAAACAATCCGGAATTTGGTTGGTTGATTTTCTTGTAGTTTTCTGATCTTAAACTCCCGATATAACGGTTTTTGTTTGAACTTATCATTAGCAGCAGGACGAGTTGTGTCGGTCCATACCTTTTGTCCACAAGCATTAACAACAAGGAACCAGTATACTACAGCCGGACCCTCAGAAATTTGTGAAGGTTTCAGATGGCGAACAAAAGTTAGCTTAGTTTGGTAATTATTAGGTCATAAAAATTTAAATTTCATTATTTTACATTGAATTTAGTTAAGAATGAAGTCTAATTTACAATATAATTCAGTAATGGGTAAAATGCGTCAAAAGTGTCATAGGTGAAAATCGTTTTATTTTTGTCTGAACTTATAATTAGCAACAAAAAATATATCGAATTATACCCTTGACTATAAATTGACCAGATAATTTATTTGGGGATGAAATAACTAGGGCATCTAGGAGTGGCCGGAGACACAGAGGGTGACCTGACCTTAGTAAGTGACCTGATATCAATAACACGTTGCTTAAAGCCCCCTCAAAAATACCATACTGATAACTCAGATTAAATAATGATGATCACGCTCAGTTAGAGGTGATGGTCAGTGCAGGTGGTGGTAATGGTGGCGAAGGTATGGCTATTGGGGGAGACTGGAGACCATATATAAAAAAGATAGTATGTTAGGTTAAATTTAAATTCTGTTAACCGGCCTATTGCAGACTCCTTATGTTCGTATGTTCTTATTAAGCTGGTTCCCGGGTGTCTTGTTGTTAGTTCAGGCAACAGATATGTGGTGTTGAGCCTTTGTGATTGGCTGATAAACTTAATAAGCTTTAGATTGTATACCTTAGTCTTAGTGATAAGCTTAAATTATATACATTATTGTTGTTAATAAACTTCGAATATAGTGCTTCCTGTTGTTCATTATATGCGGGTTTATTAAAGTTACCCAGGTTAAATTATATCTCTTATTATATTATACTTTATTTCCTTCTTATTATTAAAAACTTCAAATAAATTTCGTATTATAATTAAAAATCTTAAATTATATCCCTTATTATAGTTATCAATCTCAAAATAACTCCCAAAAGTTAGTGAATCTATTTGTCTTCGCAGCATCATGGCGGACGACCGGAGGAAATCAGCCGAATCCTGGTCACCATATTTTTGGCAGTTGTATTAATCATAACTGTAGTTTTAAATGGTCTAGCTGGTCCTGGCGCTTGTAAGTATGATCTGAGGGTCTCTTATGTCTACTGTTAATTTGTAATGTATTTGTGTTCAGTTTTATTCAGGTAAATCGTCATGAAAGTTTGGTTTGGTTCGACTTGTGTGTAGACGCAGTTACAGTAAACAGTGAGTGGTAGGCTTTCCCTGTGTCCTGGACACATGTAGACAAATAATATATGTAGACACTGCAGGTAACAAACAATGTACTGGGTAGACAAACAATAAGAATGCAGGAAACTGCAGCGGGCCTATTGGCCCATACTGGGCAGTTCCCATTTACACCCAACCCCTATCGCTCATATAACCATCCAACCTACTGTATGTTTGAAGCTATCCAGCGTATTCGAGTTAATGATGATATTTGGTAACTTGTTCCACTCATCCACTACTCTGTTTCCAAACCAGTGTTTACCTATTTCACGCCTAAATCTAAATTTGTCTAATTTAAAAACATTGCTCCGAGTTCGCTCCTGGTTGGATAGTTTGAGTACCTTTGTTTTATCACTTTTATTTAGACCTGACTTCCATTTATACACTTCGATCATATCGCCCCTCACTCTACGTCTCTTGAGGGAGTGCAAAGTAAGATGCTTTAACCTGTCTCTGTACTCAAGTTTCCTAAAACCTGGGATTAGTCTTGTCATTCTCCTCTGAATTCTTTCTAGGGATTCTATATCCATTGTGTAGTACGGTGACCAGAACTGAACTGCATAATCCAAGTGAGGTCTCACACGTGTAAGATATAGTTTTAGGATGACCTCGCTAGTCTTGTAACTAACACTCCTTTGTATGAACCCAAGTACTTTGTTAGCCTTGTTTCGAGCAAATACAGGTAGACAAACAATGTGTAGAGACAATACAGGTAGACAAACAATGTGTTGATGGATTTTTCTTACTATATTTCATCGCTGAGTTCAGATATGATAATCATTTTTTGGGAAAATATTTCGTTTGGTAGATAGTGAGGCGCCCGGGCTTGTACTCGTGGCAATAAAATAGTACAGCTGGTCCGAGTGGCTTGTCTCATGTCCACAAAATACGTACAATTATACCATATCATATAATATGCTGGCGGGTATGGAAGCTCCCGGCTAGGAATTTAAATAAGGTTAAGCAAGTTTCTTTGGTTATGTTGGTGCGGTCGTGTCACAATGCATCGGTGAAATATTATTTTGTGAGGTTCAAAGTTAACATATTCTTTTTAAAGCTTTTATGGGTAAATATTTCACAAACACTCAGACGATTTAGGCATTTTTCCATGGTAAATATAATGGTGATATTGAAAGTTCAGGAAAATGTATAATTATTGACGTATGGTCCTTCCTACCCTGCCAATCTTGACCCTAAATAATGTATATACAGTATTAACTTAGGATACTGAATTATATGTACCTGTATAATTATATACTGTAGATAAATTTTAATATCTAATTTCCCTTTTATACCTGAAGCAGAAATATATTAACTATACTGTGTTTTATATTAAAGTTTTTCATATTAATATTCATATAGTCAACATCTTTCATATTTTTTACATCTCATATTTTTTTACATCTCATATTTTTTTACATCTTTCATATTTTTTTTACATCTTTCATATTTTTAACCAATTAGTAACTCATAATGAAGAACCAACCCTAAGACGTGTTTCCTCTCCTCAGCGCCCTTCAGTCAGTCTACAGGTGATGTCTCCAACCAGTTGTTCACCTGCATCACCCCAGCAGGATACACCTTCATTATATGGTCCATTATATACACCGCCCTCGTCCTCATTGTAATTTATGGTGCGTTGTCTGATATGTATATTTGATGTGTTATGAGAGTGCGTTAGATGTGGGACCTCCATCTAATGAACAGTATAGGGAGGAAAGTCTGTTATATCAAGAGTGCGTTAGATGTGGGACCTCCATCTAACGGATTATATGGAGATAGTTTTATTTGAAGGTTTTACAGTATATAAAAGTAAATGTACTATAATTATCATATGGAAAATTGGGATCATTATCAGATTAGACCTAACAATGTAACTACTGTTTTTACCAAATAGGGATAAATTATTAGTTTTATTAAGACTCTGGGTATTTGTTATTCAGTGGTTAAATTTGTTTGAGGTGTTTATACTTGTTAATTGTCATAACTATTGTGTACATAGGTTAGGTTAGGTTAGGTTAGGTTAGGTTCGGTTCACGTGTGTTACAGTGATTGAGTTTGTAAGGATGTTATTGAAGTCATTTTTTTTATTGTTATTATTATTGTTCGTATTATTATTGTTAGTATTATTGTTATTATCATTATTATTATTATTGTTATTATATAAAACACTGGCACTGGTACAGATACATTCTAGAATCAGTACATGCCTAGTCTTCTACTGTACTTGCCAACAGTGCATAACATTGACACAACTGCTCAAGTGGTTAACAATGGCAAAGACGCTAAAGTAAATTAAATAATATAACCACCGTAGATACTTGATAAATTTCTTGATTAATTTTGCTTTTATCATCATTTTCGTGTAGCCATCAGTTTGCTGTTATTGAGAGTGGATGGAGTGAAGGCTTGGAAGCATGGTGGTGCTGTATCGTTCTCGTTCATGCTGGTGCTGGCCGTCAATCTCATCCTTAACGTCGGATGGCTCTTTGCCTGGGATGCTGTCAATGCCACAGCCTCATTCATCATCCTCTTACTTGTCGCCGTCACAAATATCATTGCAATATCCCTAAGTGCTTACAGGTGAGGGTATAAAGTGATGTAGTTTGGTTGTGTTTATAATAATGTGGGAATATAGTGAAGTTATTATAAGGCCGTATGAGGAAGAGTTTTTTAAAGGAGTTATGTTGGTTTATGGGAAGAATAAGCACCCCAGTTGATTTCACCTTAAGGTTAACTACCCCATTGTTAGCTTAAGTTACTCATACCTAATGCTAACCTAACCATATGTGGTCCTAACTTAACCTAATGCTAACCTAACCTTATGCTAACCTAACCATATATGGACCTAACTTAACCTAATGCTAACCTAACCTTATGCTAACCTAACCATATATGGACCTAACTTAACCTAATGCTAACCTAACCTTATGCTAACCTAACCTTATGCTAACCTAACCATATATGGACCTAACTTAACCTTATGCTAACCTAACCATATGTGGACCTAACTTAACCTAATGCTAACCTAACCTTATGCTAACATGGCCCAACCTAACTTAATGCTAACATAACTTAACCTCATCAAACATAACACTAAAGTAACCTGACCTAACTTATCCAAATATAAACTAATACTGTATAAATTAACTTAACCCTAACCTGACTTACCCTATTTTAACCAATACCTCCCCCCTGTACTGTATAAATTAACCTAACACTAAACCTATCCTGACCCCAACCTAACCTAACCAACCCCCCGAGGTATTAGCGTCAAGGGTGTACAATCAAGTCTAATAATAAGGGGCGGCTAATCTTCACAAGGTCTGCCATTTCCCGTCAGAGTTGCACCATAACTCGTTCTTTCTGCTCCACTTCAGCTTTGCCAGAGTCGCGTCGAGTCTCTATCAAAAATCCAAGTTCCATTTTTGGTCCGGGATTTTAGTCATCAATGGTATGGGGCTGTACGTCACCTGGACCATTATTGCTGCACTTCTCAATGTCACAATCTTCTTTATGTATGAGGTTAGTGGGATAGATTTTATTTTATTCATATTCAGCATTTTTTTCGCTAGTTATTTTAATTATCGTTCGGGCTGTTGGTCTGTTTTTGTTAGTTTATGATGAAATTTATTGTCTGGAGTTAGTACCTGGAGAAAAACCTGTGGCATTAGGTAGTCACTGTGTCATGTCTGTCCCGGGGTGGCGATTAAACTTTGTTATTTGGTAAAGCACTTTAATAATTTTCTAAACTTTGAAGAAATTAAAAAACAAATGTATTAAACCCCAAATTAAAAACACCATTTTTTTTAAATTTACAAAAGTGGCGGATATTTACAATTAAAAAAGTGTATAGCAGTTCAAGAATACAGTAAAGTGCATTTAAACTACAGTACCTAAATTAAAAAAAGGGCCGGGGGGGGTAATCTTCAGGTGGATCCACTGAGGTTAAAAGTTCAAATGTACTCGTTTGTGGTTTCAATTACAATCACAATACTTTGCGGTTTAGGTGATTGCGATCATTATTATTTTTTATTTATTTATTTTTTTTCAATTACTTTTTTATTTATTTTTTTTTTATTTTTTTACAGGTTAAGGTGGATAGTAATGGAGTCTGTCTGGGTGTTCTTATCTTCCTGTTGGTGAGTTTCATCTTTTGGTTTATCCTGGAGAACGCTGTCTTCACGGTGTTCGCCAACCCTCTGCTCACTCACTACATAGGTAAGGTCTCTCTTAGCATTAGGGTGGTTAATCTTCATGTGATCCAATTTTTTTTAGGTTCATTTCTGTTTTATTTTAATAGTAGATCCACATAGTTGTTGTATTTTGCTATTAGAGTACCGTCCTAGAGTTGTCTAGAGTACGTACCGTACTTAAGGATCTTAAGAGTACATGCTTAGAGTGAGTGTACTCTGTCTAGATGTACTGTATGTAGTGTAGTTTTCTTGCTCTGTCTCTCATTCTTCATATCTCCCTCTTTCTCTCTATCTACTTTTCTTCACTCATTCTTCCTTCATTCATCTTTTTCTCTCTTACACCTTCATTTCTTCCCTGTTATCTCTCTCCCTGTTATTTTCTTTCCGTCTTTCTCCTCTCTGTTGTTTTTGCCCTGTTTCTTCTCAATCTTACCGATAAACTAACTCTTTTCAGTGCTGCTGTGGGCGATCGTGGGAGTGTACGTGGAACAGAAGGATTCGGTCAGCACGGAAGTAAGCGCCCTAATGGTAACTATCATAGCGGCATCGTCCATCATGCTTGTGGCTCGGGTCGTCATCCTCGTCTACAGGAACAGAAACAATGCCACCTACAGTCAACCCACCACACATAACAGCGTCAAGGTTGATGCATGTGAGACCCAGGATCGTCTTTATTAAGGGATAGGAGTTGCTGATGTTGGTTTTAAGATGCGTACACAACTTGAGGGACTGTGCGTTGTGATATCCAGTACCTCGGTGTGTGGTCGTGTCAGGGTTATCACGTGAGTATGATAGTCACTGTTGTCTGTAGTTAGTTGTCTCAGAGGATGTAGAAGTTAGTTGGCTCAGAGGATGTAGAAGTTAGTTGTCTCAGAGGATGTAGAAGTTAGTTGGCTCAGAGGATGTAGAAGTTAGTTGGCTCAGAGGATGTAGTAGTTAGTTGTCTCAGAGGATGTAGAAGTTAGTTGGCTCAGAGGATGTAGTTAGTTGTCAGAGGATGTACCGTGCGATCAAGAACCAAACAAAGGGGAGGATCAACCGAAGATTGGACACCTCAGTTTATATCATCGGAAGATTATTCACCCTAAACTAACCTAAACTTTAACCTAACACAAAAAATACATCTTACCTAACCTAACCCAACCTAACCTAACACAAAAATAACCTATCCTTACCTAACCTAACCCAACCTAACCGAACACCAAAATACCCTACCCTAACATTACCTGTTCCCCCTCACTCAAATAGTTTGTGGGAGGTTAATCTGAAGGTAAAAATAAACAGTTGTGTGTAAACTTCATGTGACCCACAGAATCAACTTCAGCGATCTCACTCAGAAGAAATACTTACCACAACAACCCCATGAGTTGCCATATATATTGTGTACCACCGAGGATCAGGGTTAAAAATTTGAGATACACGACACCACTTAGCATCTCTGACACCTCACTTGTGTTCAATATAGTTAAGATTACAGTACTGTATTTTGAAATGATAATAAGTGTTGCTATTATGTATTTTACTATATTACAGGATTTTGAAGAACAAACTTTGCTAGTCCAGGGAATTGATTTAGTATATATATAGTTGTTTAGTAAATGTAATTGTCATATAGCTGTATATATATTTTCATTGATTCAGCATGTATGTAGACAGTGCAGGTATACAAGTATGGATGGAGAAGGATTAAACTCACTATCACCAACCCACACTCCACCACTAATATGACAAACCCATACCACCATCATCACTACAACCAACCCATGCCCCACCACTACTATAACCAACCCATGCCCCACCACCACTACTACTACAACCAACCCATGCCCCTGCTGCACACGACCAACCCCTTTGCTGCCGGCAACCCATGCGCTACTACAGCAACCCATGCCCCACCACTACTACGGCCAGCCCATGCCCCACCACTACTACTACAACCAGCCCATGCCCGCCACTACCAACGTGCACGCTGCTGCTGGCCGGCCCATGCCCCCGCACTGCTACAACCAACCCATGCCCACCACCATCATCACTACAACCAACCCATGCCCCACCACCATCATCCCTACAGCGGCCAACCCATGCCCCATCACTACTACAACCCATGCCCTACGCACCTGCCCATTGCGTATTTCACCGTCGTCGCCGGCCGGCCTTCCACATCACTTCTGCCATTGGCCGTACCCACCACCACCACCTTTGCTACCGGCCCGTGCCGTCTTCCCTGCTGACATGCCGCCGTCATCCCTACAACCAACCCATGCCCCACCACCATCATCACTACAACCAACCCATGCCCCATCACAAGCCCTTGCCCCCACCACTACCACTAACCCATACCTTACCACCACCCTTAAAAGTAATAGTACTGTACTTTCAATGGTAGAATCAAAACACATTATAAAGATAAATACATTAATACAGTACAAAATCTCATTACAGAAGAGTATGACTATTTTACCCCACAAGTTGAAATTCAAGATTGATGTTTCAGACTGTAACTTGACTCAGCCATACATGTAGCACTGTATTTTTCTGTATTTTTTGAAGTATTGTAGACGTTCTTGTTGTGTTTTTAATTAATTTCTTACTTGTAATGTTGTGTTTTTCTTTAGTTTTTGTATTTTTCTATTGTGTCCTGTATTTTGCTGTAGTGTGTATTATACTAATTATTACATTGTGTTTTAGTTATCTATTTATGTAGCACTGTACTGTATTTTAAGGCTTTTAATACCATAAGCCCTTCAATAGTGTATTTAGACCTCTTGAACACCTGCTAACACCATGTCCTGTTGGCTGTCCTAGGCATGTGAATTCCATTATCAGGTTCAGTAGTTTGTTGGTTATAATGGTCTAATTAATACTACAATATGTTGTATGTAGAATTTGTATTACACTAATCATTACTACAGTATGTGATTTCTTTATCCTTTAAAAAGTACAGTTGAGTTGTATGTATTTTTGAACATCACATACACCAGTATCAAAGTCGTACTCTAATCGTTGGCGTGGGTGGGCGTTGTCTTGTTGTTAATAGCCATGTATAGTTATAGTGATATACCATGTTGCCTCTCCTGCTGCTGGTCCACAAACCCTAAGATTCAGACTTGTGAATCTGAAGCAGTAGACACATACATTATTTTCTCCACTGATGCTTCAGATTCATGAGTCTGAATCCCAGGGTTCATACAGCAGGAGGATGAGAGGTGATCGGTCATTTGTGCATTAAAATTATACCTAAGATATATCATAGTGCCTTTTGGTGGTGAGTTCTTATTGCATCAGTAGGGTGTGTACATGGTGTAGTATAGTGTATTATTTAGTACATTAACTCCATTGTGTGTTGGTGAGTTAGAACACTTGTCTGCTGCTGTGTTGGAGACCCTCTTGTGGTGGTGGTGGTGGTGGTAGTGCTGCTGTGGGGTTCCTTCACTGAACGCGAGTCACTTCAGAGGTCACGTCAGGGGTGTAAAGTTGGTATGATAGAAAGAGAAGGGTGTAGGTGAGGGTGTGAGTGTGTGGTTTGAACTGATAAGGTTATATGACAAGAGGAAAAATGGCAAAGAGGATAAGTAAGGTGGTGGTAGAGCAGTAATGTCTGTATCTGACTATTGTGTCCTGGGTTCAATCCCCACCTCAGGACAGATGTGAGAAGGGTGTTATCCAGTTTGACCATGAAGGATGATCCTCGCCAGCATTGTCTAGTCTAGTTCTTTGCAACAGTCCATGAAGAGTCGCGAGTTTGTTTACTTTTTCAAGCCGTGCATAGTAAATAAACACCGTGAACAGCGCATGTTAATTAACCCTATAGTTTCTGTCTTCTTTTTCCTTCTTGTACATCTATAGTGACTTGAAAACCTCAGTCTAATGTGTACTGTACTGTGTAGTCTAATGTGTACTGTACTGTGTAGTCTAATGTGTACTGTACTACTGTGTAGTCTAATGTGTACTGTACTGTGTAGTCTAATGTGTACTGTACTGTGTAGTCTAATGTGTACTGTACTGTGTAGTCTAATGTGTACTGTACTGTGTAGTCTAATGTGTACTGTACTGTGTAGTCTAATGTGTACTGTGTAGTCTAATGTGTACTGTACTGTGTAGTCTAATGTGTACTGTACTGTGTAGTCTAATGTGTACTGTACTGTGTAGTCTAATGTGTACTGTACTGTGTAGTCTAATGTGTACTGTACTGTGTAGTCTAATGTGTACTGTACTGTGTAGTCTAATGTGTACTGTACTGTGTAGTCTAATGTGTACTGTACTGTGTAGTCTAATGTGTACTGTACTGTGTAGTCTAATGTGTACTGTACTGTGTAGTCTAATGTGTACTGTACTGTGTAGTACTAATGTGTGTCTAATGTGTACTGTGTGTAGTCTAATGTGTACTGTACTGTGTAGTCTATGTGTACTGTAATGTGTACTGTACTGTGTGTCTAAGTCTAATGTGTATGTGTAGTCTAATGTGTACTGTACTGTGTAGTCTAATGTACTGTACTGTAGTCTGTGTAGTCTAATGTGTACTGTACTGTGTAGTCTAATGTGTACTGTACTGTGTAGTCTAATGTGTACTGTACTGTGTAGTCTAATGTGTACTGTACTGTGTAGTCTAATGTGTACTGTACTGTGTAGTCTAATGTGTACTGTACTGTGTAGCACCACACACTGCTTGCGGTCATGTAGAAAGTCTTCTATCCACGCTAGGACATTTCCCTGAATTCCATACCCTTCCAGTTTGATTTTCAGCCTTTTGTTGGGTACACTGTCGAAAGCCTTGGCAAAATCTAGGTATATACAGTATTGTTGATATTACCACACTGTTCCAGAGTATGGGTCCAAATATCCAATACCTTGAGCAATTGTGTTAAGCAGGAGCGTCCCGGCATAAAACCGTGTTGACAATCTTATACAAGGTTGTTTCGTAGTAGATGTTCCATCGCTGCATCTCTGATAATACTCTCAAGTACTTTACATATTATGCTGGTCAGGCTCACCGGTCTATAGTTGTTCGTGGAGTGTCGATCGCCCTTCTTGATGACAGGACTCACATAAGTTACTTTCTAATCACTGCCAAGACATGTTAGTGTTGTCCACCTGGGAAGATATTGGAGGCATAATGTGTAGTCTAATGGTAGACCCTGCTGCCATATGTGACCAAGTCCCAGGTTGATGATCTGACTTTCTGCCTCATTTACACACAGTTGCAGGGTCTCAATTGTTTCTCTTACTACTGACAACACAACATACATATATTGTTTCTCACTGTTGATCTTTTTTTTTTTTTTTCTTTATTATTATTATTATTGTTGTTGTTGTTGTTTTTGTTGTTATTATTGTTTTATTATTTTTATTTTTGTATTTCTTATTAGAAATTAAACTTATCTGAATTATTATTATTATTATTATTATTATTATTATGATCATTATTATTATTATTATTATTATTATTATTATTATTATTATTATTATTGTTATTATTATCATTATTAATATTATTATTATTATTATTATTGTTATTATTATTATTATTGTTATTATTATTATTATTATTATTATTATTGTTATTATTGTTATTATTATTATTATTGTTATTATTATTATTGTTATTATTATTATTGTTATTATTGTTATTATTATTATTATTATTATTAAATTTTCACCCCCCAGGCCCTGATGTGGGTCAGTGACCTGTGCCCGGGTGGGCTAATCCCCGTAAAAAAAAAAGTCTAGGATTATACCTGTACTGTACTTGGTATTTCTCAAAAGCTGGGGTCCATTTATAGGTTGATTTAAGAATAGCCAGTAAGTAAAAGGGAATAATTTCCAATTCTTCGCTCCATGACAATAACAATGACCCGCAAGATACCAAAATATTTCTTTGGATTTTTAAATAAAGTTTTCCAAGATTTGTGTTGTTATTCGGACGTGTCATTACTCAGGTGTCTGGTACTCAGGGTATTTACTGAAGTTTAATATTCAGTTTGTACTATGTTATACCTTAGTAGGGGGCCATAGCACATAACTGGTGTACTGTATGATGCCAGCCACGTCTTGTATTACAGCTGGTGTCATTTATATAACACTAAGAACATCTAGCTGACACAGAAAGTAATGGGGATAGGAACAGGTTAAATCTTCAAGTCGTATTCTAGTTACAATCTCTGACCTTGAGAACATCACAAGGCAGTTATTTGTATCACTGACTGCTGGCTCATCTTTACTCCAGTAGGAGGCCTTGAGGTCTATGGGTCGACCATCTACCCATATCCAGAAGCCGTCAACCTCTTGGTCTGTGCCGCCAATCCAGTAAGTATTGTATAATTCTGGTGAGAGAGAGAGAGAGAATTATTGAGATATAATGTGTTCAGGGAGTCCTTGCTTATGAGAAGGTTCCTGTTCATAACTCAATCTGTTCCTAGGTCAGAACAGTGTTAATTCCATAAGTTAGGTTCAGTTAAAGAACAACTCTGCCCATACAAAACAATTAAAATGTCCCGTACATAACAAATAATGCTCATACTGTACATTAAGTGCTGTTAAACAATGTAAAGTACAGTATTGTAATGTAAAAAAATACAATTTTACTGTATTTACCTTGACCCCTGAAGCTGGCTTTCTCATTGGTCCTCAGTCCATATTATTTTTATCTTCACTGATCTGCTCGTTAGCCGCTTGGGTTTGTCACGTCTCTGTTACGCACTGTTGGCAAGTACTGGTCATGCACTGGCTCCTGAATGTACCTGAACCTGCTCCAGTGTTGGTCAAGTCTGGTCTTGAAACAGCTCACACTCGGTGCCGTCACAACACTCTCTGGCAGATTGTTCCAAGAGTTCACAACTTTCACTCCAAAAAAGTTACCCCTCACAGTTATCTGGACTTGTGGCTTCTTCAACCTTGAGCTGTGACCCCTTGTGGGGCGAGCGTCTGCCAGCTTAAGATATGGACACTCAACTAAGTAGAGCCCCTTGAGATGTTTATACACCTCAATTAAGTCCCCCTTGCCCACCTGTAGTATAAGCTAGGCAAGTTCAGGCATTTTAATCTCGGTGGATAGCTGAGGAGCTAGAGTGCAGGCACCAGTCTGGTGGCCCTCCTTTGGACATTTTCAACCAACTGACAGTCCCCGGTGTATCTCGGGGACCAGACGGGGTGACAGTACTCCAGATGGGGAAGCACTTCACTCCTGAAGATTGTTACGAGGGACGGACCGTCTAGATATCTGAACGACCTTATAAGACCCAATAATTTATTTGCCTGATTTACCTTCTAACAATGGCCCGAGAACTTCAGCTCATTGTCAACATACACACCTCGGTCTTTCTCACATTCAGTCTATTAATACAGTTTCTTCATCCCATTAGGACATATGATACGCCTCCTTACACTTAGTGACATTGAATCTCAGCAGCCATTTCTTCGACCATTCTTGAAGCTCACAGAGATCTTTTTCCTCCTCTTCACAGTCTGCTTGGGTCTTCATTTCTCTAAATAACTTGTCGTCATCGGCAAACATTTGTATGGAGGAGTGTACAACGTCAGGCATGTCATTTATGAAACAAACAAACAACAGCGGACCCAATACACTGCCTTGTGGTACCCCGCTTGTCACGGGTACACATAACGATTTCATACCATTAATCACCACACACACTGCTTGCGGTCATGCAGAAAGTCACCGATCCAGGCTAAGATACTTCCCCGAATTCCGTACCCTTCCGGCTTGATTCTCAGCCTGTCATGGGGTATGCTGTTAAAAGCCTTGGCAAAATCTAGGTATATATTGTTGATATTACCTCCCTGTTCCAGAAGTTGGGTCCAAACATCCAGTACCTTTAGTAATTGTGTTAAGCAGGAGAGCCCCGGCATAAAACCGTGTTGGCTATCCTTTACAAGGATGTTTTGTAGTAGATGTTGCATCATGGCATCTCTTATAATGCTCTCAAATACTTTCCATGCTATGGTCAGGCTCACCGGTCTATAGTTATTTGTGGGATGATGATCATCCTTCTTGAAAGTAGGACTCACATAAGCCACTTTCCAATCACTGGGGACCTATTGCTCATTGAGGCATTTACAGAACAGGATCTTCAGGGGCTCAGCAAGCTCGTTGCACAACTCTCTTGGCACTCTGGGATGCACCATGTCAGGGCCAGGACTCTTATGAACCTTTAGCCTTGACAGTTTATTTCTTATAACCTCTTCTGAGAACACAATGTGGGTCAGCGCTGTGTGAAACCATTTGTCCTCAATTGCAGGAAGATTGTTCACATCCTTTCTTGTGAACACAGAGGAAAAGAAACTGTTCAACGCCTCTGCCTTGTCCTGGTCACAATCTGTGTAGCTATCATCTTCAAGCCTCGGGTCTGGTACACCTACTTTTGTTTTTAATTTCGAATTTGCGTAGCAGTAAAATGCCTTTGGGTTTGACTTGACCTCATTCGCAGTCCGCCTGTGGAACTCTTTTTCAGCCCTTCTACACTCTGACTTTGCTTGGTTCCTGGGTCTCTTGTCCTGCTCATCATTTGTCCTAATCCACATCTCTAATTTCTAAGTTTTCTTCTTAACTTTGTCTCCCACCACATTGTTCATGTGCAGTGGTCTCTTTGTATTCCTGGAGACACTGGGTTTGGTCTTGGGTATATATTTCTTGATCAAATGGGTCACTTTACTTGCTATGATATTCAACATAGTGTCTGCGTTCTTATACCTTAGTAAGTCAGGCCAGTGGATACCTCTCATCCTGTTGTAATTTCCCTTGTACTATTTGCCCCTTGACCTGGTTTTGTCATGAACCAAGTAACAGTTAAAACTGAAGGACAGCATTACGTGGTGACTGGTGCCAACTGGGGCTGGATGTTCCAGCTTGGCCACCATGCCCTCTTCGTTAGTTATGATGAGGTCTAGTGACTTGGGTGTTTGCTCCCCTCTAATGTGCCGGGTTTTTAACATGTTGGAACAGAAAATTATCTCTCAGAGTTTCTACAAAAAGAGTAGCAGGGTTATTTAAGTCCTTTGGCGTGAACTCATTTCTCCAGTCGATGTCGCCAAAGTTAAAGTCCCCCATGATAAGGAGATGGCTTGGGTTGAGCATTGCTGCGTTGTCTATTAAGGCTCTTAAGTTCCTTTGGTTTGGTAAGCTACAGTTTGGGGATCTGTAGATACATGTGACAATAAGTAAGTACCCTCCCTTTAATTTAATTTTGCACCACTAGGATCCTTCTAAAACATCCTCTCCCTGTACCCTCGCCTGGCTGGCTCTAAGGTCTTGCCTGGCATAGATTACCTCACTCCTCTTGCAAGTTTCTTGAGAAAGGTACATAAATAAGTCATATCTGTCTTTACATGTATTGAATTCACATTCCTCCGGGTTGATTCTCTTGTTCTTGTACAACATTTCTACAACTCCAACTATATCTGGTTGGTGTACCTTCAGTAGTGTTTCAAACTCCTCTCTCTTATCAAGGAATGTGTCAGTATTAGTGTACATGACATTCAAGCCAGAATTTGTTCTCGGTAACGTCTCTGAACTTGGTTGTGACTCCGGCTCCCTCCTTTCTCAGCAGCTGGACCGTTTGATAAATATTTATAATTTTGTGGAGTGTGGTCAGAGATGGGGGGAGGTGGAGTGGATGGGGGTGTCCCGCTGTCCCCTTGTTCTGTGCTGGCTCTCTTGCTTCCACTACCTTCCCTTTGTATGTAAACCATGCAAGTCCATCCCTGTTCCTCATCAAATTCCTCCTATTCTGCTTCAAGCACCACAGGAGTTTTTGTGCTGTTCCCTCTGTTTTACTGTGAGATCTGGGCGTATGAATATATTCCGGAATGCCTCGCTCCTCGCTAAGATTTTTTGCCTGCCGAATAACATCCCATTTCTTATCCTCACTCACTAGTGTGGCTGTTCCTGCTTTTGTTCTAGCTCTCTTGTATCCTGAGGAGGGGGGAGGCTGACATTTTTAGAACCAGATAAAAGTTTCTCCATTTCAACAATATATCCAACTCCTCCACTTGGTAATAATTGTAGATTTCATTGGGGCTGACCCCTTAACATGTTCATGAATTCTGACTTTGTCTTTAAGAATTGTTCCAATGGTGGACCCGTTTAGCTGCAGCCACCTAACAATATCATTTGGACTCACTCTTTTCGCTTGGTTTTATAATGTCCAGATTTATTTGAAGTGTTATAAAGTGCCTCTTGTTGGCAGGTGTACCATCACTGCTACTACCACCACTCTTATGGTTACCAGTCGTGATGAGGGTTTGTAAAAAGTAAAATTCAGAGCAGCAAAGTTCCGAGTAAAACACGAAAAAGGCTGCACGAACCAGTGGACTCTTTGTTGTTGTTGCTGAACTGCCAAGTGCGGCCGGAGGCCATAAGTCGAAACTGATTTTTGTGATGATTATATGGGACTTCATGCATAAGTGAAGCTGTACATATGTCGGGGACCCACTGTACTGTATATGAGTTTAGGTTGTTTATGGTGAACAAATGGTGCGGCTAAGTTATTAATGGTGTGGACGACTGTGTAGGTCACATCTTGACCCAAGACAAAACACATCATCAACAGGTCTAACTGTGACACTGACAGAGAAAAGCTCATGTTTTGTTGACATTAAATTTTCATCTTCACTGGTGGATCATGTAACTAACTTGTTTGTATATGTATTTTGTTTAAGTATGTGTGGCTGTGTGTACAGTATTTACATAATAAAAGGCGTACCATACTGATGCATGTGGCTGAAGACGTGATGGTAGTCGCAATCGATCTGGTCGAACACTGCCAAGTCTGCGCGATGGTTGGCACTCAGAGACCGGCAGTACTTTCGAGCCTCTTGGTAGCTTAGTAGCAGGTCGGAGAAATAGTAACAAGATTCCCCAATTTGTATGAAGGGATCTTGACATTCGGCTGCCAAAGAAAAACACAACAAATTAGATACATTATGATATTTTGACAATTTAATGTTTATCTGTTGGTGGTATAGTTGGCACCAAGACCACAAATGACACCATCACAATTTTAGTCTTTATGGATCGCTCCAAGACTGGCTCCTCAGATAATTTCACAATGGTTAAGCTTCAGGTGAGCAATTAGAGGGTTATTATTCAGATAAATCATAAATAAAACTACAGTACATTACAAATGGTGTCGTTCGTGGAATCATTTACATCCCTGACCTGTGTATAAGATGCTTAAACTGTGAATGAAAGCTGTTGGAATTCTGCTCTGAATGCTGATAGGTTATTCACTCACCTGACATGTGAATGACTCAAGCTACAGGTAAGCATTATTAAACCTGAAAAGTTAATAAGTTTGCTTAAATATGAAAGATACCATTAAGGATATTTTATGGGGATATATATTGCACTTAAATAAGAAATACCTGTATTAAATGTAGTTCATGATATCATTAATTTGTCTAATGGTCAATTCAGCTGTTATGTTAAGTATTAAAAGCTATAGATGGACATTTCATTTAGTCTGAAAGATAATTCAGTTTGTTGAAATTTTGAGCAGAATGAAAACTTGTATCTGGTGAGTTTTGTGTTTAGGAATGATGGAAGTACTGTACGTAATTTTAACAATATTGTTTTAGATTATTGATCATCTATTGTTTGGGACCAATGATCTGTGAAGGTTCTAGATAGGTCGTGAACTGTCTTGGCTGTGGCTGGAACAACACACACACACACACACACACACACACACTCACACTCACACTCACACTCACTCACTCACTCAACTTACCATAACTATTAACTACGACACAGCTGAGAAGAAGAACTGTGAGTGTGAAGTTGATCATGTCTTCAGCTGAACAATGACTGGATGGTGATGGTAGTAGTACAATTCTGTATTATTCAATTGAACTCGTTAACTGGCAGTGTAAAAGGCAGCGATACAGCACCTCTTGACACAGCTAATGGATGTTGTGTGTGATTGTGGGCAATCTGGCCAATACTAAATACCTGGGAGGTGAGAAACTGACAGATGTTTACAAGAGTCTGTTTGGCCCTGCCACTCCCCCTGCTATACCCCAACGCCCTACCAGCCTTACTACACCGGGATCTATTCAGCAAAACATTCTAGTGATTAGTGAACGATTGATTACGGAGCAGTGTTCCTATAGTGCACTTAAGGAACTTTCTCAGCAAAGCATTCAAGTCATCAGTGCAATGAGTGATTATCATACAGTGCTCGATAGTGCACCCCAAGGAAAAGTCAGACAGTGGGCACTTTATCGGTCACTTTTAAAGTGCCAGTGACAAGGACCACCGCGGTGTTTACATATATCGTGAAAACTGTGTTGGCGACCCCAAGCACCAGGGACAAAGACCCACGGTCTTTACGACTGACAAATATTAGCAGATGTCTACCAGTGTCAGTGGCCCTCAAAGTGCCGTCAGTGACAAACTCTTCCGTCCGCCCACAACAGATATCAACAGATGGCCACCAATCACTTACTCCCGACGCACTCTGTACCATCTAAAGCGTGGGAACGGTTATCCTGATGGCAGTGTTATCGCGCGACTCAAGTCACTGAACATATTCCACGCGCGTAGCCGTAGACAAGGCCGTCATACACATAAGCCCATTAGAACCGTAACCTCCACTAGGAAACCGGAGAAACCCACCCCTGTCAGACCATACCACCACACTGAAGTTCCACGGATATGGTATGATCTCCCGTTTTTACTGCTATCCAACGTCACTTCCCTAGCTAACAAGTTCGACGAGCTGGCAACTACAGTCAGGTCAGCTGCCGCGAGCATCGTTGCCATATGTGAGGCTTGGCAAATTGTGCCTGAAACGTGTCATATTGAGGGATATCAACTCTTTCATCACCTTCGTTCACATAGACGCGGAGGGGGCGTTGCCCTCTTCTGTCAAGATGACCTACGCCCGTCACGCCTGGATGTTCAAGTCCCAGCAGATGTGGAAGCATTATGGGTACGTGTCGTGCTACGGGCCCACCCGCGCAACACTGCTTCCATCATAATCTGTGTGGCATACCATCCGCCTCGCTCACCCACCAGAGACACTCTTATCAATCATCTCATCACCACCTCAGACCACCTCAGAGTTAGGTACCCATGTGCCAAGTTAGTATTATGTGGGGATTTTAATGAAATTGACACCACTGATATCCAGGACCAGCTATCACTATCACAAGTTGTGACCTTCCCCACACACGGTCAAAATACCCTTGACCTTATCTTAACTGACTTAGCGGACCAGTACCAACCACCTCAACCAATGCCTCCTATCGGGTGTAGCACACACTTATCAGTGCTCTGGTCCCCAGCTGCCACTCCCACTCAAGTACAGAGACCCTACATCAAGACCTACAGGCCGATTACTGACTCTGCACTGCGCCTCTTCGGGCAGTGGATAGTTCACCATCCCTGGACTGAAGTACTTAGCGTGGATGACGTGGAAACCAAATGGATAAATTATACCAACACCACCACGGAAGCCCACCACCACTTCTTCCCCGAGAAGTCCGTCAGATCTCACCCAGCTGACTTGCCCTGGATCACACCTCGGATCCAAAGACTTATGCAACAGAGAGACAGAGCCTTTCATCTCAATGACCACATCCGCTACAGGTCCCTTCGCAACCGAGTCATCCGCGAAATACGCACTGCAAAGAAGTCCCACTACCCAACCAAATTACAACACCTGAAGCAGACCAACATCAGTCAATGGTATGGTAAGCTTAAAGAACTCTGTGGACTAAACAATAAGACACACCCCCTCCCCTTCCTTAGCCATCTCACTAATGTTGACGCAGCTGAACAAACAAATAACCATTTCGCTACTATATGCCAGACGCTCCCCCGGCTTGACACAACCACTCTCCCTGCTTACCTACCAGCCCCCCTTCCCACTGACTTAGTAGAAGAATTTGAAGTAGCAAAACGCCTGGACAAACTAAAATTAAAACGCTCTACCACCCCCATTGACTTACCAATGAAACTTTTCAAGGAGTTCTCCCCGGAGCTTGCTAAACCCCTATGCTCCATCATCAATGCTTCTCTCAGTCAAACCAGATGCCCAGCTGACTGGAAGACCTCTTATGTATCACCAGTGCCCAAGTCAACCAGCCCACAATCCTTAAATCAGCTACGACCTATTGCAATCACCCCAATAACCAGCCTAATCTGGTGGAAAGTTTAAATTGACTGGGCTTATGCTGATATTGCAGGGTCGTAGACCTCAGCAATTCAGGCTGTCGCCTTCATTGATTTCACTAAAGGTTTTAACTTAGCCTAATTGCCAATAGAAGACCCGGGCTTGGAGAAGTCTTATACTCATGGCTATAGACTTCCCTCAGTGACTGACGCCAAGCTGTACGCTTTCTCTCTGAGGGGCTGTCTCCACCTTTCAGTCACTCACCTGTGGCGTCCCCCAAGGCACCAAGATGGGACCACTCTTCCTTATGCTCATCAATGATGCCCTAAGAGAAACCCCTGCTCGCTGGAAATATGTCGACGATTCCACCATTGGGATCAGCGTCAACAATTCTGGCTCCCAACCATACCGCCCTTCAGGATTTGGCTGGAACAGCTCCCCAAACTGGGCCACCAACAACTATGTCACCATCAACCATACTAAGACCATGGTTGCACATCAACCTCTCCTCCGACATTGTCCCACCTCCTTCCATTACTCTCCAGGTCCGAACACACTCCGGTTGTAGATTCCACGAAGCTCCTCGGCGTCACCATAGACAACAAACTAAATTGGAAACCACACGTCAGTGAAAGTTGTCAACCCCTCCAGCAGGCTTCCGTCTCCACCTCCTCCGCCGACTCAAGTCCCTGGAGTTCCTGCACACGAGCTCCCCAGTGTTTACACAACATTCATACTTCCCAAGCTCACCTATGCCTCCCCCACCTGATCTCTCTCCTCCCCCTAAATGCCACACAACGTAAACACCTAGAAAGAGGGCATGCAAGATTATTCTCCCCTTCCTACTCCACATATCAAGAAGTCAACACTGGACCTCTTGACTCTCACTGACCATCACCACGACCTCATCTGCAATTCTGGTAAGAAGCTTTCTACACCATCCTCAACACCCTAGGCTCCTTCTACTACCACCTGAGATCCCTAGTCCGGAGAATTGTTGTCTGATACCACAACCGCATCCAGCCTTACATGTGCACGAACTGATCGCTATAAGAACAGCCCAGTCCCAAATCCACGTAAAAATTATCAATAACTTGTAATAAACCAGTGTATTCACTCCCAGGCAAACACTTCACTCCTTGCACTGTCACTATGTTGAAAACAACTGTAGTTTGAGCTTTTCCCCATCTAGTTATTATATGTCTTATTTGTGTCACTTATGTTACTTGGTTATTTGTAATTCGAAACCCATTCCCCAAATATGTAACTGTATATTTTCAGCCTTCTGGCTCCCGCTTTCAATAAACCGTTAATTATTATTTTTATTATTAAGATTTGTATATTTTTTGGATGCCATGACATGATTCACACATGATGGTTTGCTTAGGCTGTCGAGTTTCTTCCTTGAATATAATTGACCGCTGATGTTCCTCTTATATGTAAAACTTATTGAGAACACTGATAATAATTTCTTGTAATTGTTTCTTTACTTTATTTTTTTTTACTTTAAATTTTTAGTGAATTTTTTCTACCCAGTGAGGTTCCTAAAAGTCAAATCAAGATTATTATTCACCCCAAGGTTAGTCCATGACCAATCACAGTCTTAAGAGTTTTGGACCAATCACATTCATTTATGGCTGAAAAGTCGAAAATTACCATAATTAGTGAACATTATTGAGAATTAAGACTCAACACTAACTGCGAATATTTTTTTACTTTCTACAGGTTGACAATCCTTTATCCGAAATCCTTTGGGCCAGAGACATGTCGGTTTTGGATTTTTCGGTTTTCAGAATGGTTAGGTTTTTTTTATGTGTGTATTACCTCACGGGCATAGATCACTGACCCACATTGGGGCCTGGGGGTCGAAAATATAATAACAATTATAATAATAATTCATGGTCTAGGTCGTGTTTCTCACTTTTGATCTTTTTTTCATTCTTGTATTTCTTTACTGTATTATTATTTTATTACAGTATTATTGTTATTATTTATTAATTTTATTATTATATTTTTTTATTTATTTATTTATTATTAATATTATTGTAATCATTATTATTTATTTTGGAGTATTTTTATTAAAATTTTTATTTACTATGAATAATAATTATTATTATTATAATTATTATTACTATTACATTTTCGCCCACCAGGCCCAGATGTGGGTCAGTGATCTGTGCCTGGCTGGGCTAATAATCTAAGGCCCCACAAAAAACTTTCGGTTTTTAGAGCTTTTCGGTGTTCGGATAAAGGGTTGTCAACCTGTATTACCAGGAAAAATAACGTGGGGATATATGAGAGCAATAGTCCTGTTTTGTTCCCTGTCAGCGTGAGGACGAACACACCTGTACATATATACTTGTTGATAATAGTTACCAAGACGCCTCATCTAACACAGGGTCAGGGATGTGATAATGAGCCTTAAGAAAGAGTGTAACTACGACCACTTTACCATAAAATAACTCAACCAAAAGTTGGAAAAAATATAATTTTTTTTGTGTGATTCGGCAGATGATTACAGTATAGTGCCGGGTGTTTTATGTATAGTGCCGGGTGTTTTATGTATAGTGCCGGGTGTTTTATGTATAGTGCCGGGTGTTTTATGTATAGTACCGGGTGTTTTATGTATAGTACCGGGTGTTTTATGTATAGTACCGGGTGTTTTATGTACAGTGCCGGGTGTTTTATGTACAGTGCCGGGTGTTTTATGTATAGTACCGGGTGTTTTATGTATAGTACCGGGTGTTTTATGTATAGTGCCGGGTGTTTTATGTATAGTAGCGCGGGTGTTTTATGTACAGTACCGGGTGTGTT